CTGGAACACAATTATAAACTAGGTGTTTATAACTGGGTCGGAATTATGCTCTCATGTAACCTTATATTAAGTTATGAAAGAAAGTAGAGTGGTTATGTGAAAATATCCGACAACTCCGTTTCCAATGCTCCCTGTGTCCCATATCGACTCCGTAAACAGAGGAAGTTTCCGTCTACCTCAGTGACGTAACTGACGTCACGCCCACCCACGCGCTATCATAGAAAGTGGTCAATACCTGATACACTGCATAAAAGAAAATGGAGTTAATCGTTGTTCCTCTCACTTGAAGAGAAACTTTACAGTATTTTGGTGTGTATTACGCCTGTTTATACATATAACCGTGTGTTTAAATGCTTTACCATTTCCATGAACGTAGAGAGAGAGGATATAAACCTCTAGTATGACTCTATAGTGTAGTATAACGAAGTGCCTGAAATATATCATAACCCCAGTCTAGCAAGATTCTAACTCATTGTCACATTACTCTTTGGTAATTATTGTTGTATTGATTTATTAATGTTTACATATATCTAATGCAATGACTCCAGCCCCATTGCTGCCCTATCAGAGCCTTGGAAATAGTAGATGTAGGTGACTTATGTTGCCAGCCTTCGTCTACTTTGTTACATTTTATGGCTCATATGTGTTTCTAGCTCCTAAGTCCGTACCCTCGTGCTGTACTGGTATTCCTGTGAGCTTTTCATCACTTTTCATCCAGCCAATTCCCTTAAGTGTTTTTGTATCTCTCAAGTCTACTGTCTCTCTCTTTATTGTTTAGCGTCGTTAGGTTCAGCTCTCTCAGTAATAATAATAATTATTATTATTATTATTATTATTATTATTATTATTATTATTATTATTATTATTATTATTATTAGTATTTAATAATAATAATTTTTATTTGTATACAGTTTGGTTAAGATACGGTATAGAGGAGTATTAGTAGTACACAATTAATTTCATTTAAATAAAGTCAGTAACTAGCACAGCGTTTCGGGCATAACTTATCATAAATGGGTAAATTATTTATACCTTTAATATGGGTAACAATTAATACTAATCGTGAAGTAAGCTGACATATATGAATTGTTAAACAAATTTAACAAATTATTTAACACCTTTAAGTGATATTTAATAGTGAAAGTCATAAACTACTTAAATACAGAAATTGCAGTTACAGCAACATTGCAGATATAATATTTAGTTCTCACAATAAGAGCAGAACACAGGTCGAGATGTAGGGGCAGGAAATGGGAGTGAAACTGGTATCATAATAGCAATTAAGTATTTATTAGTTTCTTTTTTAAACTGGTTGAAAGAAGAACAGTTTTTTTATATAGAATTTTGAAGGTAAATCCACAGTTAAGGTTTTTTAATTTGCAAGGCATTTCTGTTCTGGTTAAGACATTCTTGGAATAGTATATAGATATTTGTTTATTGTTTGGTGCCCACGTGTTCTGTTACAGCCCTCTAGGGAGAGTTTGAGGTCAGAATTAGCATTACAGTTCAGAGATTTATAGATATAAAGTCAAGTTGAGTGTGTGTAAATTGACTTCATATTTAACTTATTCAAGGATTTCAGTAAGGGCACTGAATGCTGTCTGGAATTGGAGTTTGTTACAGTTTATTATTCAGTTTGTTCTGTTACAGTTTACAGAATTATGTTGAGTAATTATGAGTCACAGGTAACTTTGGGTTGTAGATCCCAAGGTAGAGATATGGGTAGGTGAGGGTTATCAGGAGCAGAGCCAGGTACTTAGTATTGGAATTTCAAGAAAATGCTTGCGGTTTTATGGATTTGTTTTTCTTATATTTTGTATACGGCCATTGAAATTTTGTTTGCTCTCAGTGAAATTCCCAAGGTTATTTTCCATCTACTCTGCTTTCGATTTCAGTATTGTTTATTCTCAGTTCAATTTGAATGATGGTCTTGCTTCCAAACATAAAGTAATATATATTCGTTTTTTTCAATATTGGGTAAGTTTATTTGTAGTCAGCTATAAATGGAATTTTCTCAGTTTAGCATTCACTATGTCAGTTAGAATAAGTGAATTTACATTTGAGAAAATGAAGGTTGTGTCATAAGCAAATAGAATTTTATTTGTATTTATATATGCAAGAGTTTTAGTGGCTTGTAAAGCCACTAGCACGCATAGCGTTTAGGACAGGTCCTTAATCCTTATTTTCCCTGGAATACGACCTGCCAAATTAGCTGTTGATTTAGTGCTTTAACATATTTGTATAATTTTTGTAATTTCTTCCAATGGCAATGATCACTTATGTCGCCGTTCTTGCCGTCTTATATAAATAAGGCTTGTTTTATTTTACCTATAATAACATGGGCATTTCTCGTAGTTATATTCAGTCTAACTAAGTTCATTTTCTTCCTTCATTTGTTATATTTGCTAAAAGGGGGGGAGGGACCTTTAACAAGGCGCCGGCTTCCTGTTTCCTTCGTGGCCACTAGATAGATGGTGCCCGTTAGGTAAATTGAGGTAATTCAGGTAAATGGAACGTAGAAACTCTCAAGACCTTGAACTCGCAACCTTCTGCAGTTCGTCGTGAAAATTTCCCACTTTCTATTAAAAAGCGTGGGCGGTAACATTGACGTCAGAGCCAGCATTATAATTCGTTTTGTCGGGGACAGGAAACGTGTGTATGTATATATATATATGTATGCATACTCTAGACTTGAATCGAGGTCCCATCAAGGTCGAACTGCTGACCTTCCCAAGGATACAACCCCCGCAAAAGTTGCCTAAGTCTCGGGTACCCGTTTACTGCTAGGTGAACAGAAACATTAGTTGAAATGAAACGTGTCAGGGCATTTCTGTCCCGCTCGGGAATCCCGATTTTTTGTCGGGAACGAACCCAACTGCGCTACCGAGACCCATACACTTCCACAACAGTCATCATTGTCTCCATAAATACGCTTTCTCTTTCTTGCTGAGTCTCCCAGTTGTCAGGGTATCATAAAATATTGGTTATATAATTCATTACAAACTTCGTCGTGGGAGGATGGTGTCAGATGTCCAAGTAAGTCACAAAAGCCATATGTGAATACATTTTTATCATAAATGCAGTTTATTTTTAATAAATAATAAATAATTATATTTAATATAATTTGATTTTAGAAAAATTTAATTTTATAACAATTGAATTTTAATCAATTCTACCCGAAACACTATTGGTGTTAGTAGCTTGGCAAAAAATATAAGAACACTGATGATATGTACTTCCACAACCCGATGTACCTTCTTGCTCGTAAATAAATAAATAAATAAATATATAAATAAATGTTTGACTCTTTATTTTAATATTGGGACTGAGAAGACTTTATGAACTGTTAGCAAGATCTTCAGTAGCGAGCTTTGGTCGTTTCGCTTCCTTAGTCAGGGACATGAAGACTGTACGTTAATCTTATTGAGACCAGGATGAACTTCCCCAGAATGCGGTCCACAACAGTCCCCCTAACACTAAGGTACCCGTTTACTGCTAGGTGAACAGAGACATCAAGTGTAAGAAAATATGAGTAAACTTCATCACCTGCTCGATTTTGGGTACGATCGGTTTTGAGCCGACTGTGATGAACTCTGTAATTAGTATGTTAGACCGTGTGGTGAGTGACGAGCAAATGAACTAGAAGCTTCAATCTTGACTATCTTTTTGGCTAAATTATCCGGATTGTCAGAACTTGGGAGTTACACTTGACTATCTCCCTGGCTAAATTATCCGGATTGTATACACTGGTATACCAAAAAAATATTTATTTTATTAATTTGGAGTTTATTGGATTATTATATACCTTCATTTTTGGTATGTTACCTGTCGTGTTCCCAAGATTTTTTTAAATTGTAAAATTTTCCACGTGAAAGTATTAAGAAAATATGTATACTCTTTCTATAACAAAGAGAGCACTGAGTCATTCTTGGCCGTGGTCCAGCTCTAAGGCTTCCTCCGCTACATCAGTTTCTCCGCTGCACTTTGCACATATGTTTCAGAAACCTAAAATGCCTAAAACTGCTTTCATAAGGACTGTAAACACTCAAGATAACTTCAGGTAATGGTCATTATATTATGTTTTTGGTTATATAATACTCAGTAGTTAATGCAGTTGGCTCACAACCGATTGAACCAGAATACGATACTTTTGGCCACGTTTGTTTACGCCTTATGCTTCTACTTAGTCGACTGTTGTGGGTTGCATCCTGTGAAAGCTCAATCATTGACCTATGGAAGGGGAGGAGGGACCTTGGTCAACCTAATTGGCTTCCTGTACCAGAAAATGTGAAACTTTCCTGTATATTTTTGACAGAAATCACTGCCTGACATACAGTGAGTAGTGTACCATATTTTAAGGTGAGTTTACAGTGAGTTTACTTAAATCCTGGACTATATGTTCACAACTAAAGTGCACTTGATGGTTAATCAGTTAGCTATTGTATGGACCAAAATAATCTTCCTGCGGTTGATATGCCTTAAACCTAACATTAACTGCCTAGTCCTATTGTTAGCAAGAAAATGTTTGATTTGAATTCCCGGTTGCCTGCAATGTATGGGTCTCTCCATATGCTGTATTTATTTTTAGAAAAACAGTTTGTGTCAGTAATATCACATGACCTTTATCACGCCAGACGATGATCCGTGAAATTATCCCAGATGGTCATGGATATAGTGGACGAGGATGTGTAGGATTAAGTTGACTGTGTAGTAGAGAAAGTTGACAAGGAAGTGGAGGATAAAGTTTTAGAAAAAGTGTAGATTAAAGTCTGCATTTATCATCACCCAATAATTAAAGTTAGTTCTCATTAATATGGGAGAGAAGTCTATATTTTATTCTCCAGTTGAAGCTTAAACCAATTTGAGTTATGATAACTTCCATCTGGCTAATTTGACAAATAAGCTTGTATCGCCATTTTCTCGTGCTTTAAACACATACTTAACATTGGAATATCCACACGCCGTGTACCCATATAGGAGGATGCATAATAAAGATCACATTCAATACCTGACAGCTTTATTGAAGCCTTGTAAGCTTAATTTTGTACTTCCTTGGTGATTAATTTTTGTGAATTTGGCATGACATGAGCGCTTAATAGCATGGAGTGAAAATGTTATATTGACATGTAAATTAAGCGTAGACTGAAGCAAAACAACAAAGTCACCCCTCACATTCATGGGTATTGCTTCACCTCTCACATTTATGGCAAATGCATCACCCTCATAAGCATGAGTGATAGTCTACACGAGCATACGCAAAACGCTACACCACGGGCCCCCGGATTCAGGTTCACCAAGAAGACATGCAGGTGACAAAAAGCTTATACAGAGAAGGGGACAAGAAACCCATCCATGGGACAAGAAGCCCATCCATGGGACAAGAAGCTCGTCCATGGGACAAGAAGCTCTTGCAGAGGGAGCAGAAGCCCATGCAGGGAAGCAAAAGCCTTTGCATGGCACAAGAAGGCCATGGATGGCTTGTAGAGATCCTCTTGTCTCTTAAATTCTATCTATGTCTTACACCGCATCATTTTGTTTACCCGCTCCTCCATCATCCCCATAACATTTTATCGATTGGCTTCCACATTTTACTCCTAAACGTTGCAGGGTAAATTGATGCATTGTGTGCTATGCGTAAGACAAAAATTATTCCGAAATTAGTTTCTCTTTGGTGAATTAGCATTCAGAAGCACGAAAATCCACGTAAAAGGTGCACTTATCGTTGCATAGCGGCAGATCGAGGCCCAGTGAAATTGTGTAGATTCAGTAACTGTGTATGTTAAGGCGGCTGGCTTGAAATGCCGAGCATGGGAAGGTAGTCGAAATATTGCTATAGACGATAATCCTTTCCAAAAGCTGCCAGATGGACATAATGCTTCAGGCACAATACAAGCTGGCGACCTTGCACCACAAACATCTTTGTGTAATGAACTGCAAATAGACGATCCCTATATTAATATTTTGATCACATTTAGTAGTTTGTGGAAACAAAATTACCATCAATTGACAACACGAATAATTTTTCCACCACGATCATCGACGAATCTAAAGCACTATCTTATGCCATGAACGCTAACATGATCTCCACTAGCAGGATCATATTAGCAACATGATCAATGTAAATAGGAGTTTCCTCGCACTAGACAATGTGCTTTCTGAATGTTGTTGTTTTAGATTCAGCTACTCGGAATAAAACGTTCCCAGTAGCACGGGCTATGGTGAGCCCGTAGTGGACTTACCTGGCACGGGAGCGATGCTGTATTCTGGCTTTCTGCATCTTTCTTTATTTTTAGGTTGGGTATAAATAGCAGCCGTTTCCCCATGGGCTAAAAAAGCCTTTTTGCAATTTACTTTATTCTTAAATTCTTGTTCTTATATATCATCAACACATTTTAAGCAGATTCGGTTATTGTTGCAATAAACAAGCTCCAGTTGGGAACTAGAGGTGTGGGTTGTCATCATTGTTGCATCGTGTCAGTGAGCACCCACAGATCCTCACTGCTCAGTCTCTTCCTCTGGTGTTAGAACAGCTTATTACATATTCTGGTGGATAATATCCTGGTTAACTGCTTGTTATATATTCCTCTTCATTATAAGATCATCCAAGTTCATCCAATTCCATGCAGTGTTGTATAGCGTCAATGGCCGCCCAGCATGTTCAGCTGCTGGATGATGATGCGCTAGATATGGTGTATATGTTGAATAAATCCACTAGGGGATTTATTATTATTGTGGATCTATTATTGTGGATTTATTCATTTGATATATCATGCTATTGGGATTTCTGTGTGTGTGATGCATATCTTGTTGTTAAGGGCCAGGAAGGAAATTAAGAGACTAGGTAATATTTTTTAATAAACAAAGGTCTCTAATGTCGGATGAAGTCCATTTAGAATCTGCAGTACTTTTGAATAAAATAGAGAGGGCTAGATCTATTTCAGGCAATTGGAGCAGTTAAAAGGTTTTAAGCTTTAATTCATGCTTGCAATCATCTTCAGTGTCATCAACTGTGTCTTCGATAACGGAGTTCACATCACTATTAGTCTTTCCATGTTTATATTATCTTGCCTTTGGGGTCTTCAGGACTTCGCCGGCCCTCGAGTTCGTAATGTGAGGAGTCGAGGTGCTCCGCCTCGGTCTCTTCCTCGTCTGCAGTCGTTTTGCTGTCTGTATTCTGCTTCTCTCTGACTGTGTTGTTATCATCGACTTCGACTTCCTTGTTAGATTTGTATGTTTTTTCGGCGACTTTGTCCTCCACTTCTTCGTCGACTTTGTCCTCCACTTCTTCGTCGACTTTGTCCTCCACTTCTTCGTCGACTTTGTCCTTCACTTCTTCGTCGACTTTGTCCTCCACTTCTTCGGCGACTTTGTCCTCTACTTCTTCGGCGACTTTGTCTTCCACTTTCTCGTCGACTTTGTCCTCCACTTCTTCGTCGACTTTGTCCTCCACTTCTTCGTCGACTTTGTCCTCTACTTCTTCGGCGACTTTGTCCTCTACTTCTTCGGCGACTTTGTCCTCCACTTCTTCGTCGACTTTGTCCTCTACTTCTTCGGCGACTTTGTCCTCTACTTCTTCGGCGACTTTGTCCTCTACTTCTTCGTCGACTTTGTCCTCCACTTCTTCGGCGACTTTGTCCTCCACTTCCTCATCAACTTTATCCTCCACTTCTTCGTCAACTTTATCCTCCACTTCTTCGTCAACTTTATCCTCCACTTCCTCATCAACTTTATCCTCCACTTCCTCATCAACTTTATCCTCCACTTCCTCATCAACTTTATCCTCCACTTCCTCATCAACTTTATCCTCCACTTCCTCATCAACTTTATCCTCCACTTCCTCATCAACTTTATCCTCCACTTCCTCATCAACTTTATCCTCCACTTCTTCGTCAACTTTATCCTCAACTTCCTCATCAACTTTATCCTCAACTTCCTCATCAACTTTATCCTCCACTTCCTCATCAACTTTATCCTCCACTTCCTCATCAACTTTATATTCCACTTCCTCGTCAACTTTATCCTCCACTTCCTCATCAACTTTGTCCTCAACTTCCTCATCAACTTTATCCTCCACTTCTTCGTCAACTTTATCCTCAACTTCCTCAACAACTTCCTCGTCAACTTTATCCTGCACTTCCTCGTCAACTTCCTCGTCAACTTTATCCTGCACTTCCTCGTCAACTTTATCCTCAACTTCCTCGTCAACTTTATCCTCAACTTCCTCATCAACTTCCTCGTCAACTTTATCCTGCACTTCCTCGTCAACTTCCTCGTCAACTTTATCCTGCACTTCCTCGTCAACTTTATCCTCAACTTCCTCGTCAACTTTATCCTCAACTTCCTCGTCAACTTTATCCTGCACTTCCTCATCAACTTTATCCTCCACTTCCTCATCAACTTTATCCTCCACTTCCTCATCAACTTTATCCTCAACTTCCTCATCAACTTTATCCTCCACTTCCTCATCAACTTTATCCTCAACTTCCTCATCAACTTTATCCTCAACTTCCTCATCAACTTTATCCTCAACTGCCTCATCAATTTTATCCTCCACTTCCTCATCAACTTTATATTCCACTTCCTCGTCAACTTTATCCTCCACTTCCTCATCAACTTTATCCTCCACTTCCTCGTCAACTTTATCCTCCACTTCCTCATCAACTTTATCCTCCACTTCCTCGTCAACTTTATCCTCCACTTCCTCGTCAACTTTATCCTCAACTTCCTCATCAACTTTGTCCTCAACTTCCTCATCAACTTCATCTTTCATTTCCTCGTTGTATTTAACTGTCTGACTTTCCTGGTGGTCAGCGTCGCGTACGACAACCTCTTCTCCTTCCTTCTTGCTCTGGCTTGCTACGTTGTGCTCGCTGCTTTCTTCTTTTCCTTCAGCATTACTTCTTTCATCTTCGATTTCTTTTACCCCGTCGTTATCTATGTCTTTTTGTTTCGTGTCATCTTTTGCTTTATCATCTTTCTCCTCTTCATCTTCCTCCCAAGAGCTTCCGTACGACACTTCTGTATCATTGCCCGACGCCTCGTGTGCATCACTGCCAGACGGGACGTGAACCTCGCTTCCAGACGCAACGTGACCTTCGCTGCCAGACGCAACGTGACCTTCGCTGCCAGACGCAACGTGACCCTCGCTGCCAGACGCAACGTGACCCTCGCTGCCAGACGCAACGTGACCCTCTCTGCCAGACGCAACGTGACCCTCGCTGCCAGACGCAACATGCCCCTCACTGCCAGACGCAACGTGACTCTCGCTGCCAGACGCAACATGCCCCTCGCTGCCAGACGCAACGTGACCCTCGCTGCCAGACGCAACGTGACTCTCGCTGCCAGACGCAACGTGACCCTCGCTGCCAGACGGCGTAAACACCTGTTGACTGTAGAAGCTGTCGACTTTGCTAATGCCCTTACGTTTTTTTCCTTCGCTGTTCTTTCTGCCTGAGCTTCGACGTCTCCTTCGGCTACTGGAAGAGGTTCCTGAACGGCTCTGAAACGAAGCCTGGTGAATGGGTGATCGGCCAACCAAACTGTCGTCCAACTGTCCCTCTAGACTACTAGATATGTGTGATGGTCGTCTTCTGTTGCTCTGTAAATCTCTCTGGTTTATTTTACTGCTGGAGCCATCGGACTTACCTTCAAAGCTGCTTGTTTTGCTGATGACACTTTCTTTTTTTCTAGAAGAGCTAAAGTGACTTCGTCGAGTCCCTGTGCTCTCACTGTCTTCAGAAGTTTTGGGAGAAGTCTCGTTCAAATGGGATTGTGGTTCTTTAATGTTATGTTTAGTCCTGCTACGACGCCTCTGACTGACACGGGAGCTAACCAACGACTTTACATCCACTCCAAGCGCTTTTGCGACTTCGAGATCCGACGGGTCATTACAGGACTCTGCAGAAGTGTCTCGTTGGTGAGTCTTCTGAGACTGTCCCTTCTGCTGAACCTCCAGGTGGTGCTGAAGGACCATGGAGTCAATGTCACTCGAGGTGCTGTCGCTTGTGGAGGAAGATGAGGCAGTCTTGGAGGGCGTGCCGTCTTTGCTGCTCACCGGGTTCGACTCCCCTGTGCCCTGACTGGCGTCGCTGGCGGCAGTACTGCCATCGGGCGAAATGCTGCTTCTCTGAGTGCTGGTGCTACTGTCCTCCGTAGTGCCTGCCTCACTCTCTGCCAGGCAGATATTAAAACAGAAGTTAGATATGGAAAATATAATGATTACTTCTACTAATCTTACCAGAATTATTTCAACTGATGTTGCTTCTACTGCTACTAGTACTACTACTGCTGCTGCTGCAACTGTTACTAATATTAATATTACCACTACTTCAGCTATGTTACCATTACTACCTTTATTACCACTATTATTATGACTTTTAATACATTACAGTGCTACTAGTAGTAGTGTTAAAAATTATAATACCAAAATAAATCAATATAATGGCATTAAAACAATAATATTAACTCAAAATCTTTCCTGAACATCAGTAATATAACATAAGCAACCTGTCTCCTCTGGAGGGGTGTAAGGTCGCTCGTGGTCGGGTGAGGTGGCCTTCCTAGCCTTCCTGGTCTTCACTCTCACTCGTCTACGAGCCTGGTGCCGCTTTTCCACCACTCGTAGCTGACACCTGTTCAGAGAGGGACGCAAAAAAGTAAACATAAAATGCCCTTGTGTTTGGAATTCAAAATAAATAACGAATGCCGCCAGAATATTAATTTGTTGTTGGGCTTGAATGTCTATCAACCTCTTAAGGGTTATTGAGACCACCATAAGCGCCTACTGACCATACAGCGTGTATACTATATATACTTTAGCCATGAATATAGTCCAGGACTTTAGTAAACTCTCACTGTATATACACCAAGAAGCGGAGTGTACCTCGCAGTCTATATTTCCTTGCCAAATCATATCTTAAATGAATAACTGAATTCTCACCTGAGGCATGGTTCCCCGCCTATGATCTCGACGACCTTCAGATGGCCAGAGCGTCCGCCAAGGCGGGTACCGGGAGCGTACCGGTATTCACAACACGCGCTCAGTCTGCCCGTCGCCACCCCGTTCTCGTAAATTGTCAGAGAAAACGGAAAGTTTTTTCGACGCATGGAAGCGATCTCGATCTCATCTGGTGGTAAACAAAGAATTTAATAATAAACGGACATAAACGTATGTGTATACAAGTAAAAATAAAAGGGAGGATTAAACTTCGACTTAACAAGAAGCGATGCCTCCGCTCTACCGATCAGTTCAAGCGATTGGGTATACAAAAAAATATCCGTGATGATGATATCCAAAGAGACAACTCACCCCCGAGACGAATGACACCCTGGAAGATGGAGACGTTATGGGCTCCTGCTGGCTGTTGTACGAGGCCGAGATTGGTGGGGGTGTGGCAGGGCGCTCCCCCACCTGCATACACTAGCCGCATATGGGGGGCAGGAGGAGCTGTGTGGCGAGGCAGGCTGGAGGGTACTGGGTAAGGGGGACACAGTCGCTTCCACACCTGCTGGGGGTACAAGCACAAGGTGATAACTGGCATCTTATGGCACCTGCAATTAAGTTTTATGTGAATGCTGGTTAGCGTTGCAAGAGCACTCCAGTTACCTGTGATTAAGTGTTCAATAACTTCACTATATATGTTATCTACCAAATCTCTAACCTGGTCCGTGGGGCAGAGAATAAATGCATCTGTGTTGTTCATTGTTCAGCATACAAAAGTATGTACATTGTCGTTAGATTATACAGAAAAGGATGACTAAGTTAATCCTGGTCATGAGTGACCTCTCATATTATCAATAAAAGTGAAAAAAAGGGTACAAACGGATGACAAGTCTAGGGCGAGACATTAACAGAGTTCTAAAAACAATCATCCAAGTTAGAACACGAATCAGTGGGTTTGTGTTAGATATGATTAGATTTATAAATAAACTGGTATACACAAATTCTGAAACAGGTTTCACATCAGTCTAACAAGTGAGCAGGTATCAGTACTGAAAAAAGCTTATTGGTAATGTTCAAAAATAGAATGAGCTTGGATGAATGTATGAATTGTCGCCCATAGACCACAAGTTATTAGGAAGATTCTTCTATTTTCATGTTCTGATAAGGATATGTACCCTTTCGGTTGGAAAGGGAAAGCAGTTCGTCCGCCAATCGATATGGATACGAGATGACTCGACCCGAATCCATATCGAATTTTTATCACGACTGGAAAAGGGTCCAGGACAGACCAGAACATCATCACTTTTCTTTCGCGTGTGTAGGTTGGGTTACTGGCTTCAGCGACGTTATTGTGACTGATTCTCCGCAATTTAAATACTTTTAAGGATATGTGTACAAGAGGAAAGACGTACCTCCTTGCAGCTATTGGTAGGGTGGAGGATATGGATGTACTTAGGGGAGGGATGAGGACCCAAGGAAGCCACGTATGGCTCACCGACCATTCCTCGACGACCCAAAAATTTGGGTTTCTGCATGAACTCTGAGAAGTGGAATAAAGGACGTCACAGAGAAAGATAAAAATTAAGTAAAGGAGTTAACAAAGAGATATAAATATTCAGCAAATAAAGATAAATAAAATGGTTTTATGGAAAGGTATATAACTAATGTACATTCAGTTATAGACACAATCTATATAATATACAGATAATTTTCCCAATGTACTATTTCCAAAAACGAATCACTGTACCACCGAACTACTTACTAGGTGGTCTGCCCCACTCAGAAATTACGTTGGTAGAGGGACCAGAAATACCATGCGAATGTCCGAAGGTAACCTCAGAACGATCAGAGTCTGCGTTCGAGGTCCTGGTCTCGCCACCCCATCTGCCGTTCACACCGTTCGAAGCACCAACAGCACCTTTTGAGTTCCTGTGAGTGTCATTTGAAGCCTCAGCTGCTGTAACGTTCCAACGACGATTTGCTCTGTTGACAGTATCTCCGGTACTGTCCCAGTAGCCCTGGTTACTGTTCGCAACTTCTCTGGAACCATTCCAACGGCCCGGGTTATCGTTCACATCTTCTCTGGAACCATTCCAACGGCCCGGGTTACCATTCATGACTTCTCTTGAACCGTTCCAATGGCCTGGATTACCGTTTGCGACCTCCCTTCTACCGTTGGAAGCCCCCGGGGCTCCACCGGAGTGACCAGGAGTACTGCTGGAGGAACGGGCTTCCGTGTTTACGCTGACAGGTCGATAGTTCCATTCTATGTCGAAGTGGATCAGGTCTGGCTCCGACGTCGACGGCGGTCGGGCCAAGTGCAGCTGTGGATAATGGTCGATTAAGTAAAGATTATCATTGGATAAATAGACAACTAATCAAAGAGGTTAATGAGATTGAGGAGCATTTGCATATATTTCTGCTTATGGTTCATTGAAACTGTGTTCATATATATTGAGTGTGGGGTCAAGGGTCATGGCATAGAGCTAAAGTCAAATCTCAGTGTCTGAGGTGACGACTTAGTGAAGTAACGACTTAACTTCAAAAGCAACAAATTAGGGACAGTGCTACGATTCAAGGTAAAGTATCAAGGCTTGGTGTCAAAGATCACGACTTAGAATTAAAGATCGGGAGTTAAAGTCAAAGGTCAAATCCTTGTGCACTTTGGGATCAGAACTCTTACAAGAGTCTTGTAGTTCTCGTTTTTACTTTATTCTTTTCAGTTTTGTTTCGACGTGCTTTCCTAACCCACCTTTTATCTTTCCCTTCTATTATTCGTCTTTCCATATCTTCTAACATCATCTTTCATTCTCCGAGCGACTAAGACCATCTCTCATTCTCTTATTCTCTTAGCGTCTAAGACTATCTCTCGTTCATTTAGTGTCTAACACCAGCCTTCATTCCCCCAGTATTCTATACTATGTCTCAATTTCCTAGCGTCTGACACCTCTCATTTCATTGGACTCTAACATCACTTCTCTGTCGTATAAAATCCTTCCTAATTTCCCTGTCGTCTGGTGCCCACTTTCTGCATGTTATTATATTTTAAAGCAATTTGTCTACTTCCTAGTCTATTTCGATACTTAGAACACATCCGTTCACCAGGTGATACCTGGTTCCCATCCACTAAGGTCTCAACTTCAAGCTCAAGTACGTTTATTGAGACAATAAAATACATCTCAAAGGGATAGAGTAGCTTAGGCTATTTCTACCCTCCAAATCTAAGGTCTCACTACAATCTGTCACCCCACTACGGTCTCCATTTAGCTGATACTACACTCTCCTCTCCCTTTTATCTGACACCTTAACCCTTCACACCCTTAGCTGAGGCTTCCATCCCTCCTTTACCCCTTCATCAGTTTCGTCTGATGCTCCACCTCATTCTTCCATCACCAGGAGCCGCTTTCCATGTGAACCTTCATCTGATTCCGTCATTTTAATCCTCATTACCTGATTCCCATCCCTTGAAATCCCATTACCTGGTATTTTGCTCCTTCTGCCCATTATTTTACGTCCATTCCCTTTCCCCCATCATATCCTGATCGAACCCTTTCCCACGTCACCTATCATTGTGCATTCTACCCCATTGCCAGGCGGTCCAGCCCCACGTCTCAGCGTTTAGCTCCATTACCCCTTGTAGTATTAATAATGGCTACCTTTGTCCCTCTCCTAACGCACAGCTTCCATCAGCTCACCTCCCTTCTCCTAGACCTCCCGTCCGCCCCAGGCCTCGTTGTCGCCGCGGTTGTAGCTGCTTTGAGCCCCAAATGCTGCTGCTGTTGCTCCTTATGCTGCTGCTGCTGCTGCTGCTGCTGCTGCTGCTCCTGCTGCTGCTGCTGCTGCAGGTCGAGCACGTACAGCCTCCTCCACTCATCCTCCAGCATGATCTCCAGCGACCGCCTGACCTGAGGGAGGAAACACCTTGTCCTCGTACATAATGCTTCTGTTTTTCTTTCTCACTCTATCTCTCCCTCTCTATTTTCCTCTCCCTCGCTCACATAAGTCTTCCTTCTTCTTCCTTACCTTTGTTACTCCCTTTTATCTTCTATATATAATATTTTCTTATTATCTTATATATCCTATTTTTCCTTAGAGCTCAGTTCATTTTCCTATTTCTTTTCCTTGTCTACGGAAGACGGCACCATCTGTCTACTGCTAACTTTAAAACCTTCAACCGCTGTCTACGGCAGACAGCACCAGTTGGTAACTCTGAACCTCAACCTGCTGTCTGTTACATCTGGTATGCTTATCTATTGTAGACGGCGGCGTGCCGTCTAGGGCCGACAGGCAGCAGAGAGCGAGACGAGAGATCTTTGAAGCGACAAAAAGGCAAAGGTGAGAATATTCTGTCAGAAGTAGAGCCGTATAATTAGGAGCAGGTGGTCGTGGCTCGAGTGGGTTGTAGTTCTTTCGGGATCAGCTGAGTTGAGGGAACCTATATGACTTTGCTGAGTACAATGACTCTGCTCAGCAAGGCCGTAAAAGTTCTCATACGCCCACGTGTCTGAGGAAACGTATCAGAAATTTCACCAGAGATCCTTTTATTTAGGTTTGCATTGATTTTTACCCACATCAATGCAGAGTGTCTTTATTCCATCTCCAGTATCACGGAGAGGGAATATATCCAGCGTCTTAAGATCTTTTCCAGTATCACGGTCCTGTTATAGCCAGTGTCTTACGTTCTTCTCCAGAATCACGGTCCTCTTAGCCAGTGTCTTAAGTTCAATTCACTGTTTCAATCTCAAACCTTCCTCTCACCTATGTCTTTCGAATCCATATTTTTTTAGGTGTCCCGTGAGAGCCTCATCGGTTTCATGTTGCTCTTTCTGTATTTAATGTGTAATAACTTTGTACTTTGTATAAATAATGGGTTTTCTGTATTCCTTATTCCCATTAATGTGTGAATGGCAATAAAGAATGAGTCCTGATTCCCTCACCTCCGCTCTCTTTAGTTTCCTGTTCATCATATCAGCCCAATGATCTTCATCCAAACCTTCTTCGTCCGATTGTATTCTTCAGCATTAGTGAGAAAGTCTCGAAGATCTCAAGAAGTTTCTTAGTGAACTGAACATATTTTTGAAGCCATTCTTTTCCAACGTCAATCTTCTGAAGCCTCTTTTTTTCTTCAGTGAGTTGATGAAGCCTCTTCTCGTCTTTATGAATCTCCTGAAGCCTCGTCATATCAGTCTCGACCTTCTGTGTTCACTGATCTCCTACTCATATTGTGTTCATTGATCTCCTACTTATATAATGTTCACTGATCTCCTACTCATATAGTGTTCACTGATCATTCAATAACATAGTGTTATATATCATATAGTGATATATATAATAGACTCATATAGTGTTCACTGATCTACTCATATAGTGTTCACTGATCTCCTACTCATATAGTGTTCATTGATCTCCTACTCATATAGTGTTCACTGATCTCCTACTCATATTGTGTTCACTGATCTCCTACTCATATAGTGTTCACTGATCTCCTACTCATATTGTATTCACTGATCTCCTACTCATATTGTGTTCACTGATCTACTCATATTGTGCTCACTAATCTACTCATATAGTGTTCACTGATCTCCTACAACCTCATGAAGACTCATTCTATCCTCCACGAACTCTTCTCAAACAGTCCAAATATGTCCACCTCGCCCCCTTGATGTCAACATCGCCTTCCGGAAATATATTCCTGTCCATATATCATTCCCCGCCATCCTCATCGTCTTCCCATTTCCTATTCAAGCCCTTCACTTACGACCCCCTCTCCTTACCTCTTTCCTCTTGATCTTCTCTTTGATCCTTCTCCTCGAAGCTTCCTCCGCCTCCTGAAGCCGTTTTCTGTGCGCCTCTTTCTCCCGCTCCTTGGCTTCTCGTTCTTCCTTCGCGTGCACTCTCCTCCACTCCGCTTCTGGTACCGGATCTCCGGACCGTGTCAACTGGAGAGGAAGGGTAGATGAGAGGGAGAGAGAGAGAGAGACAGAGACAGAGACAGACAGCCAGAGGGGGATGAGGAACAGAGACAAAAAGATTAAGAGGAAGGTAGTCAGTAAATTGAGTGTTTGTTGAGCGTGTTAGTACTAAACGAAATAGGGAAGAACGGAGAGAAGATATAATAGGTGGGAGGGAAGGAATACAGAGAAGGATGAAACGGAGGTAAAGAAGAGACAAATGAGAAGGGGAGGATGGAAATAAACAAAAATGGGAACAATGGAGCTTAAGATTAATTTAAGTTAGAAAATCTTCATTAACTTTGCCTAAACGTTATGTTAAATAAAAAGATATTATTATTAATATAATTACCATAATCTATTGTGTATCTTCATAAATCTTCGTTAATTACCACATACTATTAATAATTATTGTATATTATCGTTAATTATCATATAAGATCATTATCATATATTACCTATTATTTTCATATAATATCGTTATCAAATAATATAATTAATTGTCATATTATCGTTACTTATCTTATACTATCATTAATTATCACATAATTTCGTTATTTATCGTATATTATCGTAATTATTATATATTATCGTTAATTTTCATATATTATTGTTTATTTTCATATTTTTCGATAATTATTACGGCATATATATTATCGTTATCATTTATTATCGTTAATTATCGTATATTATCTCCAATTATTATATTACCAGTAATTATCAAATAATATTGTTATATATTATCGTTAATTACCATAAAGTGTAAGTAATTAAGAAATAATATAGGTAATTATTAGGAATTATAGTAATTATCTTAATTACCAAATATAATGAATAATGATTGTATATTTTCGTTAATTATCATATTTTATATATGATAATTAACATATATAATCGCTATTTTTATGTAAACTGTCATAGACTATAAATTTTTGTATTTTATCGCTATTTATTACGATTTATCGGTATCATATTTAAATTAACGCCAGTATATAAAATTAAGACTATTAATTATTTAAACTGTCGTACTTTATATACTCACCTACGTAAAATGTTGGGTCTGAATGATTTCTTGCACTTCTGTGTGCTTGTGTGTGTGTGTGTGTGTGTGTGTGTGTGTGTGTGTGTGTGTGTGTGTGTGTGTGTGTGTGTGTGTGTGTGTGTGTGTGTGTGTGTGTGTGTGGGCAACCACCAGGCTCCGTGTTTGCGTGATTCTGAGCTTTAATGTATTTCCGGGATAAGTGCAAGGAAATCACGCACACTGACTTGTCAAAAAACACACACACACACACACACACACACACACACACACACACACACACACACACACACACACACACAAAAGAAAATATATTA